TTTTTTTCTGTTGCTCATAGTTTTTACTAAGAACCAATTAGCGCTAGTCAAGAGTCAGCACCATGGACAGAGGCACTTTACTTGTTCCATCGCTTTTGACAATGCGTGTCTATCTTAATGTATTGATGTTTTGTCAACATGTGAAGGTATGTTAGTATTTGACGTTTAGTTATTGGTGATGGTGTAAAATTTGAACATAAATCGTTTCGTCTCTTTTTGCCAAGACACGTCGAAAGACTGTAACTCAATATAAACTTGGCGGGGGGAGGGGGTGTCTATCTATCTCATGTATTTCGCTTTGTTGAATTTGTGATGTTACAATATTTTTAAGTAACTCGTCACATATCGTCATGACTTAATAGTTCAGTTCAGTGGTATTCGTAAAGAATATAGACTCTGTGATCTGTTCAACTAAAATACTTTATAAGGGAACTAGTATTCTCTAGTGTTGCAGACGTTAACTCTTTTATGGGCTGTGTAATCCTGGTATTTGTAAAAACAATTAGACTTCGTGCACAACAGGGTTTTGCTTTAGTTTTTCCAGGCGTTTTCTGTAGTTCCTAATTATGTACTCGTAGGGCCGCTGTTGGCCAGTGTGTTGATATTTCAGGGCACATTTAAAGAGAAACCTCGCTCGCCATGATGATATTACAGAGAGAAAGACGTCGTGTTCAAACGTCGGAGATCATTTTAAGTAGAGCCGTTTTCAACCTTTCTTTAACCGATTCGAATGGTTTCGGAGTGATGTCTATGTTTTATCACCTGTGAGGGACATTCGGTAATTGTGGATAGTAATTTTTTCCTGCTAATTTTCCAGGGGAACAGTTCGAACAGAACAATGAAACGGCAAGCGCTGTTGTTTTCCTTGGTCTTTTATCTCGGTCCAGTCATCTGCCAAATCAGCTACTCTATTCCCGAGGAGATGCCGAGTGGCTCTTTAGTCGGTAATATTGCCCAGGATTTGGGTTTGGATACAAAACGACTGAAATCTGGAAGAGCTCGCGTTTATACTGGAGACGGTGTGGAATATATTGAGCTAAACGGGGAACGCGGATTTCTTCTAATCAAAGAGAGGATCGACAGAGAAGCGATTTGCAGGCAGACAACACCTTGTGCTTTACATTTTCAGATCATTTTAGAAAACCCTATGGAGTTTTACAGTGTCACAGTCGAGATTATAGACATAAATGACAACCCCCCTACCTTTGAGAAAAGCGAGGTAACCTTTAAAATCAGTGAATCTGCTGTAATCGGAGGAAAATTTGTTCTGGACAGAGCAATAGATCTTGATGTTGGCAAAAATGGTCTTCAGAAATATGAGCTTAAACCTACCGATAATTTTGTACTGAAAGGGGACAGTCAAGGTAGTGGAACGGAAAAGGCTGAAATGATTTTACAGAAGCCTCTTGACAGAGAAAAGGAAGAGTCGATATCACTAGTTCTAACAGCCTTTGATGGCGGAGATCCGCAAATGTCAGGTACAATTCGAATTTTCATCACGGTATTAGATGCTAATGATAATGCGCCTGTCTTCACGCAGTCCACCTACACAGCCACTGTTTTTGAAAACGCCCCGGAAGGGACAGTTGTCACGAGTGTTAGTGCGTCAGATGCAGATCATGGATCAAATGGTAGAATAAAGTATTCCATTACAAACAGTTTAGATCAAGCGCATGCCTTGTTTCAGATAAATGAAGAAAGCGGAGAAATAAAATTAATTGGAAACATTGATTATGAAAATGCACGAAATTACCATATTAACATACGTGCAAGTGATGATGGTGGACTTACAGATTCGTGCAAAGTTATTGTTGAAGTGGTGGATATAAACGACAACAAGCCAACGATTAATATAATGTCAAAATCAAATATGATATCTGAACACTCTAAAACTAACACTGTTGTTGCGATGATGAATGTTCAAGACCCAGATTCAAATGAAAACGGAAAAGTCCACTGTTTTATCAATGATAATACACATTTGTCTATTAAGGCAGCATCTAATAATTTCTACAGCTTAGTAACAGACAGTGATTTAGACAGAGAGAGAGCCTCTGAGTATAACATCACTGTGACCTGCTCTGATGAGGGAGTGCCCTCCCTCTCCAGCAGTGTCAC